TTAGTTCTTGCTGCCTTCTTTATAAAATAAATTACTTGTAGATAACAAAGTATTTACAAATTTATAATACACTACAGTGACTAGTCACACCAAATTTAAATACATGGAGAGCAGGGAGAAAAATCCATCTGCCAGGTTCTCAGCAGCATTTTATTGAAAACACGAAACATTTCCATGTTCAACTCCTAAATGCAGCAGACATTTTGTTGTCTTCTGTAATTTTTCTTGTCTATTAAGAAGCTATGAAAAATATTACTCTGAAGAGTGGGAATTCTATTAAGATGTATGAGGAGACATTGCAATGTACAGTGTTCATTATTAAATTAAAAAAGGCACTTGCTATCCTGCTTGCCTAAAGATTATATAAAAACCCAAACAACCAAAACTTCCAAAACATGTCTGCAGAGAAAGGAAAAGTGGTAATACCAAATGAAGTTAAATATGTCCACAGAATACATTCATATTTAAAAAGACAATAACAAAGTTATGACCTAATAACTTAAGCAGATGCTTCTATAGCATTACTTAAATTTTAAAAGTCAATGAAACACTGAGTTTGAAGTCCTTGATATTTTTTTTTTGATTATTTAAAAAAGAAAATAAAAAAACCCAAACCAAACAACCATTTTCAGCCAGGCACCATCACCAGTGCCACAATACAGTAATCCACTAAAGGACAGGAGCAATGTAATTCAATAGACCTGTGCTACTACCAGTTCTTGATTTTATTGTTTAGCAATTGACTAGACAGTAACACAATCCCAAAGCAGAATGATCATCAGGTAAAACTGTTTTGTCTTTCAAATAGACAACCCCTCATTGTGTTTCTGCATTGCAGAGTGGTTTGAGTGCATATTCAGCCATAGGCTGAGAGCCACATTCAAAACCTGTTTGAAAAGAGACAGAAAAATCTAAAGAACTAGTAAATGGGTAGGCAAAAGTGATACAGTCCACATTTCTGGTCAACTCCAATGTTTGACTAGGAAGAAGGTAGCTGGTATATCAGGAGAGGGACATGCAGAATTCAATTGCAGAAACACTGAATGCCTTCACCAAAACCAAAATGCTTTCACGCTTTTATCTCCCCACGGTTTAAACAGAATCCATACAGTCATATATGCCCGTGAACTCAAAAGAGTTTTCACCTCTTTTGCCCTGTCATGAATATAATCAGCCTTGTATTTTCCTCATGGTGTCTTCTATATTCACAGCTTCAGAATATTTTGAATCCTATCTATCTCCAGTACCAGTTAAAGTTCATCCTAGTGATAAGAAAATAAACAATTAAGTTATTGTGAAAGTACAAATAAAAATCAAGATCATTGGGATTTTCTCCTGTGATTTTAAATTTCTCTGTGGTACTAATTTTTCAACTGGACAAATGTTTCTAAATAGAATTCAGGGTATTTAACAGCTGTGTATTAATATCTTCTTTCCAAGTTAGTATGTCAAGCTCAGTCTTGCACTAATCAGCCTCTGTAATTTGGTGCCTGCTTGCTAAATCTAGTTTAAGGATTACACTTAAAGACCCAGTGCATCTCTACCATCTATAACACAGCTGTCCCATGGATATCTATAAATTCTGCTAAGTCTTGCTATAACTGATGTTGCAACTGTAGTATTTTCTATTACATCTGTGGGCATGGAGAACTGAATTTAAATAAATAACAGTAACCGAAACAACACTAGAAGTAAGATGTGCCTGGTACTATTTGAAGATACAGCATTTAATATTTCACGGACAAAGAACAAATACTAACATCATTTTAAAGAGCTATTCTTACAATAACATAAGTGTTTTGCAAAAGGCCCCACAACAAGTAGTCTTACCTTATTTCTAGATTTTTTTCTTTTTCCTTTATTTTGAATTTCTTCTAATTTTTCATTCAAAAGTTCAGCAATACCTTTTGCATCTCTGCTGTCTATATATTCGCCAAGAACATTTTTCTTAAAAAAGAAAAAAAAATTTAAAATGCTCTACACTGAATAGAAAATCTGTTTACTTTCAGATAGAATTCAAGAAGAATGCAGGGAGGAAGACAATGGCTCTGGTAGGTTGATTTATGATTCATAGATATATTTTTGTATCTATTTAAACAACGCTATTTGTCTTTATAATAAGAACAACTCTTAGCTGCTAGTTTTCAAAACTACACAAATTTTGAACTACACAAATTTTGTCTTGATCCTTAAAGAAACCTGAAATAGTTATAACTTTCCTCACATTTAATCAGCTAATTATTGAATGTAGCCAGCCATTACAAAGTCTGCCACACACTGTGTTCATGAAATCTTGTTAGTGTGGGTCACTGCTTTTGAGACCTGAAAAGCCGTTGCTCTTTACCACAGAAAAGTCTCATTGAATTTGATGGGACTGTGCGAGGAAGGATTTCTAGAGCTTCCCATGTGAGACTCAGTTAAAAAAAAGAGGAGGAAAGTATAAGTAAAAGAATTGGCTTAACTATCAGAATGCACTGAATTTTAAAAGATCCCTATAATATTCTTGAAATTTAATAGTTTTATAAGAATAAAAGCAATTTCCTAGAACTATCTGGATGCTTTTCAATTTTTATATTTATTACTCTGAATCTGTTAGTAGGAAACACTGATCTCAACAGTCTCACACTGATAATGGAAATGGTTTGATAAGGTTTGTTTTTGAGACAGAACACAACTAAATATTTGTAATCAATTTTCTTAAAATACATTATTTAAGTTAAAATTATAATGAAGTTTTATGATTATATTGAAAGAATATTTCTCCTTAGCCAAAATGAAATTGTCCACATTTCATTTAGAAAGAGACTTTGCCGGCTTTTGGTAGCTGGTGGTAGAATTGGTAAAGATTGAAACACATTTTGTCACATGAGACCCCTGCAAAATTAAACCCTTGTTCTGGTTAAGCCCACATTTTAGTTATTGTTCTATTAATTTACAATTTATTATTTTTCAATAACATTATTACTGTATCATTGTCCTACTATTTTAAATATTGCTGAACTTGATTATTATTGTATCTCCCAAATATCTAAATAATGCACTTTAATATGTTACAGAAACCATCTCTTAAGCCTTAATGTGAAATGAAATACATACTACTAATAGTACCCGCTCACCAGTGTACACAAAGGAGACACTTTACCTTTGTTCCTTGGTAGGGGTAAAATTTAACAGTAGGGTAGGCTCTGATATCAGCAGTTTGACAGGTCTGAGCGTACATCTGACAGTCTACTTTTCCAGCTTTTACTTTTCCTTTAACAGTCTAAAAAGAAATGTTTATTAGAAACCAACTTCAAGTTTCCGTGGGTGACTGTAAGCAGATAACTTGAATACACTAAATTAAAAACGTTGCTCAAATCTTTTAAATATCTCAGAGTAGTTGCTTGCCTCTCAGATGGTTAACATTGTATCAGAAGTCACTTTGTGTTCAGTGGAGCACTTCTTGAATTCAGGGCAAAGCACATCACAGTTCCAAAGGTCACCCTATCATAAGCTGAAATCTGTCTCAAAAGAGGGTCTGTGCAACAGACAACACCCACTGGCAAGTGGGGCCTAAAAGCATGGACTTTCAGTGAGAAGGAGGATCATTAAGGGATGCAATTTCTGGATGTTTGCTAAGAAATGAAGGGCCGATGAATTGTATTTTAACCATTATAACAATCCACTAATACAGTTAAAAACTTACCCTTGCAAGGATCTCAAATTCAGGAGCAAAATTTTGGCAAGGTCCACACCAAGGAGCATAAAAATCAATGACCCAATGATCTTTTCCATTCAGAACTTTTTCTGTGAAACTCTGAGGAGTCAGGTCTACAGACACTTGTGGTAAATATCTGTGGAAAGGAAGAGTAACAGTCATAATCCATTCAAAACTTTAAGTATATCCAAATCCCATTTAAGCACAAGAAAAGTTTCTGAAATTAAGAATATTAGTAGTCTGGAAATCCCTACTTTGTACTGTAAGAGAATCACTTTTTAAAAGTGGTAGACAATATAATAATATGGTCTTCAGAAAATGGGTGGACAGTAAGCAGTATGCTATTTCTCTGCATTTTAAAAGCTCGAGTTAAAAGACAGGTAAACGTTAACATCTTAATTTAGGCAATACACATACCTGTTTCTAAGTCTTGATTTACATAGCATTTAAATATTAATTTCTCCTAGCAAGCAAAATATATAAAGCAGCTTGTGAACAGAGTTTAATGCAGTAACTTACGCCAGTGCCCAGCCTCTTAGTGAATATGAATCTCTGTGCCATCCATTGTAGCTACTATAAAAAGATTAAAAAGAAAAAAAAAAATCTAGTTGCACAGTAGTTTGAATTATGTTTGGAAAAAATACACTGCAGAGTGGAGATGATAAAATAATGAACTTAAATGCATATGTTTTAGTATATGTTTCTACCTTGCTTTCAAATCTGAATAGTCAGTCTTGTTAATACAATTAAAAAAAAACAGAATTAAGGACTAGAAGATGAAGAAAAGAAAAAGAAGAAAATTCTGTGTTAAGAGTAAGAAACTTGGTTTGGAGCACATAAGCTTTGATAACTAGAACTATTTTGAGTGAAGGATCTTTGGTAATAACTCCAGATAAAATTTGCAGGCTCTAAGAAACATGAGAATTAAATTGAAATATATTTTCTAATTGATGTTCATTCATTGTAACGAAACAATTATTAATTATATAGATTTCACTGAATTTGACAGTAGAAAAGCCAGGCAAACTGGTTACTCAGACAAGGATTTATTATTTTGACTTCCAGTGCATTCCTTAGTTTTGAAATTCCAGTGACAGGTTAGAAAAAAAGATTAATTCTGGATTCATACCTGCTAATTTACAACTTTATAACAAAGTATTTTTCAGTAGAGTTCCCTGATCAAAATCTGACTTGATAGTTTTTGGTGATCTTTATTTTAAGAGACAAATTTCCATATTTTTGCATGAAAGAGCTGACTCATGATTAGGAATTTGGCACTTAACACTCATATTCACCACTTAGTTGCTTTCAACAAGAAAAAAAAAATTCTGCTTTTGAGAGAAACTTTTTCTAGAAGAACTGAATAAAAGCAAGAAGTCCACTGATGAAAGCTACTGAAGTCTGCTATTACACGGTACGATGAAGAGGCATTACAGTTTATTATCTGCCAGCATTTAACAGAACTTTCCAATCTGTAAAATAATGAAGCAACACATCTGCTATTTCAGACAGTTATCTATCTTTAAATATGCATGTGCTTCCTGAAATCCCTGGATCTTCAAACAGTACGGTGAAATGAAGGGGACAGGCTGTTTGGTTTGGGCCAGATTTCATTTCCCATATAATTTTTTTGGTTTTTTGTTAATGATTAGTGTTTCCACACTAATGATACAATGAACGGGATGACTGGCTATATGACAGAAAAATTTTGCAATGGTGCTAACAGGCTGTTCATAGGGAGGATGATCAGATGGCTACATCAGTCTGTTCTCTAAAGATAAAGCTACAACCAGTTAGGCCTAGTAGTATTTTTATATTATATAATTTAAATAATCTACTTTAACAGGCAATTAAAGTTAGAAAACTGGCAATCTGTAAAGAACAAGAAATAAAAACTAAGATTCCTCATGTAGTCTCAGTTCAAATTACTGAAATGAAATGGCAAAATAAAATGGCACTAGTTTGAAGTAACAAAGTCAGTAACATCCAGTGAAACACTGGAACAGGTTGCCCAGAGAGGCAGTGGAGGCCCCGTCCCTGGAAACATTCAAGACCAGGTTGGACAGGGCTCTGAGCAACCTGATCTGCTTAGGGGTGTCCCTGCTCACTGCAGGGGGGTTGGACTAGATGACCTCTAGGGGTCCCTTCCAAACCACTCTATGATTCTATGATCTAGGACAGTAATATCATAACAGCCTATTTTAATAGCTGTGATGAACCTTTTCTATACAACAGAAGATGTATATTTATTTTGTTCCACATCATCTAACATTTCTCAAACTGAAGTAAACTACTTACTAATATTGATGAGCTGTGTTTGATTTTTGAGGAAAGAGTCTTATTTCAGGATATCCCCGAACGCTTTCTTGGTGACAGAAAGAATAGTATTTTTGACAATCCACACTGCCTACACTGATTAATCCATTTAACATCTGAAAAAAGAAGAAAACCTACATTACCATGTTTCATATCATAGGCTCATGAATTATGACAGATCCTGGTACAGTGCAGATGTGCTATCAGTTGCACAGCTGGCCTGTGTCTTGGATACACTGTATTTGTTGCAAAGGCCTAAACCAGCTGGCATGGGCAGGGAAGCTGATAATTACTGAATGTATACTAGAAGAACTAATAATACTTCACAGACATTTGACCAGAACACAGAATCCTGGCTAGAACTCCTAGTCTAGGTGAGTTCCAAATCTCTGAAAGTCATGGACTTGTTTCTAAAGCCCTATTTTTTTTTTGCCCAAAGTTTCTAGTTCAAACTCCTGGAAACCTGTCCAGGAAAATCCAGGTGGTTGTCAGTGAAGTAATAATACCTTTGCAAATGAGAGAACACTGTAGTGACCTCGCAAAACAAAAACACCCTCCCCAGTCCCAACAATTCCGTATTGAAGTATGTGTAATTCAGCTAACTGACAATCAGCCTTAAAACGATCTCAGAAAAAAACCGTCCTAATATAGGAAATAATTAATATGGATAAGGTTAAACTCCTTTAATCTTAAATTTAAGTCAGAGGTTTCACCAATGTCTACATACTATCTTAAAGATGACTAATGCTCATAAAGAATATTGAGAATAAAGCGGCAGATTATTTCAACCAATTCTTATCTAATTTATGGATAAATCTTTTTTTCATATTTGTTTTAAACAAATGCAGAGCTGCTGTCTATATAAAGCACTAAGCACCCAGGAAAGTTAGTTACTCTAAAGTTTCTTACATCTTGGAAAACACACTTGTATAAACAGGAAAAACTAGATAACAGTATCAATGTACTGAACCTTTAAAAAAAAAAAAAAAACCACCCAAAGAAAAGCTTTGTAATTGAAACAATATAAAACTGTCAGGTAGGAATTCCCTGTTTTCCGTGCAATATTAATCACTAGACTTTCTCAGTTGACAGTTCTCTATGACAGCAGTTGTACAGTCTCAATAGTTCCACGGAACAGGACATAAAAGCAGAAAAAAAGTTGAATGTCATTTACCCTGGCCATTTTTTTCCATTCTGGCATTAAAGCCTGACAAGGTCCACACCATGGAGCAAAGAAGTCAACCATCCAGATTTCCTCTCGTTTTCTTCTCTGAACTAATTCAACGAACGTCTCTGGTGTTAGGGAGACCACTGATGGATTCCTAAGATCCTAAAGTGAAGACAGTTTATAGACACATACTTTGCAAAAACAAGTTATCCCCTATCTAGTGCCATCACATACAAACAGACTGTACCAAATTCTGAGAATGTCCCTCTTTTGGTGAAATTTGCTTGCTGCTGTGGTAGGGAAGACTCCACAACACCAAAAAGCACAGAAGCATCAAGTCATCCCTTCAACTTAACAACTGTATGCCTGATTTGCTGAGAAGAGCTATCAAAACATACTGCCAGGCTGCAAAAGGGAGGTTTTCTGCCTCTTCTCCATAGAAAGAAGAAAAAGGAAAAAAGTTCTGCTTACGTGGCAAGAACAGGCATTACGAGACTCAGCCATGCAATTTAGGCTGGCATGCAGAATACATGTGCGCTAGAGGCCTCTGAGTATCAACTGAAAAAGACTGATCTCCACCTTTTCCTGCATGTGTGCTCTTAAACCTGCTTTTTCTGGGCTGCCTGGAGAGAACGAACAGTCTCTTCAAAGAATGGAAAATAGCCTGTGAACCTAGCAGAGAGAGAACCCGAATGCTGGAGGAAAGATGGGTGCCAGAACTCTGGCAGCAACAAGTGATGAGTACCAATGATTTTCACTTCTGTGAGTTATGAAAGTTCAACAAACAGCTGAGAAACATGGAGGGCCGCAAGCTGACAAAAGTGTGAATCTCCTCCTCTGTCATGGTGTGTACGTGACGCATTTTCACCTTAATATTACAGCACTTCAGACTTATAATTCCTTTATCCTCTCTCTGAGATAGAAATCATTACTACTACTTTGCAGATTGGAAGAGATCTTAAGTTATTTGCTAACAATCTCAAAAAAATTACTTGACAGAGTAGGGACATTAGGCGCCAAGTCCCTGACTGACAGTTGCTGGATCACTTTTCTTGCCTGAGGTTTTTTCACTCTTTATCTTACTAGTCTAATTAATTAAAAAAAAAAAAATCTTACATTCTTCCAACTAAAGAACATGTTTGTGGATGAGTTGCGTACAGAGCATGAAGGCAACAAGGATTATAATTTACATACCTCTATAAACTCCAAAATCTGCTCAGCAGAGTGATGGCCTTCATATTCGTGAACATCAGACTGATTGAACACAACGGTTGTTGGATAAGCTCGAATGTTATGCTAACAAAACAGACAATAAGAAATTGTAAGGAATTAAAGGCCAGTACAAGAAACCTAATAACTGCCATCTCTATTGGCGGCTCACAGCTGCTCAGCTATCCAGTTTGTACAGTACAGCTGCTCAGACTTATATGCAGATGGGAGTTTGAAACCATTACAAATCAGTGCAAAAAAGATGCCAGTCATATTCAGAGATGGTGTAGTTTGTTCTGAATTTAAAAATCAGCCAGTACTTCTTTTGCCATGATCCACAAATACAGGAATTAATCCACAGTCCTTCTAAGCCTTAACTTTACAGTTATTCATACAGTACAAGTGTTTTCACCTGAGAACTAGGAATAGCTTTATTGTTTACTGTTGAACACAGATGCTTCCATGATTTGAATTCTTCAGTGTATAAATCCATCTAAATAAAACTTTAAAAAAGCTTGGGTTTATTTCCTCATTTTTGATGTGTGTTAAGACATTCACATTTTAAAGATAAATACAAGCATTCTAACATCAAAAGCTCTTGTGAACAATAAAACGTGTAGTTGCAGGAAAGCTATCAAAATGTAGTATTTTCTGGAATTCAGGAAAAGTAATGTCAATAATTTCTACCACAATAAATTCACTGAAGCAAAAACCAAGCAAATTTAAACATGGAAAATTGGGCAAGACTAAAAAAAAAAAATCATTCCATGAACATGTCTTTAAATAAGTATAAACTGATAAGTAATAAACTTATTTTTACTTTGAAATTGATCCTGCATTTCTTAAGCGCTACAAAACAAAAAGCAAAGTCAGTCAGGGTGAGCTGAATTAGATGTGGTTTTGCAGACATCTTCAAAAAGTGTTATATCAATATAAAACTTCTATTTCTAAGTGTTCTACTGTTTTTATCCTCCTATGTGAAAAACAAAAAGAATGCATGTATGTATTTATATAGACAATAGAAAAAAATTTCTGGGTCTGTTAATTCTTTTTTCCTCTTAAAAAACCCAGGAATTCTTAAATTCTGACACTTCCAGAGTATTGCTCTGATTTCACAGTGTTATTGGAAATGTGACCTGTATTTTGCATTAATATATTATCTGTAGTGGTTACATAGTTTGCTCCTTTGAAAAAAAAATGATTATACAAGTGTCCTGTTTGGTTTACTACTCTTTAAGAAAATAATATTAAAAAACAAGCATTGTTTGAAGAAAATAGTAATATTTGAAAGGAATTTTGTTTGTTTGTTTGTTTAGTTCCTGCAGCTTACCATGTTGCAAAGCCCTTCATGGATGGTACAGTCCAGTGTTCCAAACTTAAGCTGACCATAAAGATGTTTTGATGCTTTTCTCAGCTCTGGTAACAAAGCTCGACAGGGAGGACACCACTAGAAAACAAAATGCAAGTAAGCGCAATTGCTTTCCCGGCAGTTGGCTCTCAGGAGCCTGTAAGCTGTTTGAGATGAATAATACGCTGCTTTGACAACAGACTGCACTAAATACAAAACCCACACAAGTCTAGGAACTAGTGCTGCCAAGGAATGAGAAACTGCAATACCATCTCATGATGCTGAATGAAGGACACTTTCAAGGTACTGTTAGTATTTTGTTACATAGTTACATTACAGATTTTAGAAGGGACATACAGATATTAAATATTTACCGGTGCAAAGAAATCCACAAGCCACGGTTCCTTTTCTTTGTCAGGAAAATTCTGAGGTCCCAGTGTGATAACATGAGAGTTGACACTTTCTTTGGCAAATGCAACAATGTCATACAAGATCTTCTTTCCTTCAAAGAACAATGTAGAAAGGAAATTTTATTTTTCCTTATGAGAGATCTCATTAAAAAACTCAGTGATAGCAACAAGAGTCCTTCAGTACTCTTGACTAATCTTGAGACGTGGCCTGCTTAAATAAATTGAACAGGTACTGGCTTGCTTTTTTTCAGGAAGACAATATTAAACAGTCTAAACCTACATAGGTAAGTCGTACTCCAGGTGACAGTTGATATTCGGCTAAATATTAAACTAGATTTTTACCTAATATTAGCCAAATAAATGTTTTATCCAAGACAAAACATGGTTTTGTCAAACAAAATGAATGTTTTTTTCCTGACTGAGCTACTGGCTGCTTTACTATCTTACTAGTGTTTGTTGGAATTGAAAAGTTACTATTCTAGATACACTTGCCTTGGCAAAGGTATTGACACATTAAAGACTTCAAGCAAAATAAATGATCTTGATAAATCACAGCTGTTTAGGTGTAATTGAAGTTCCTGATGACACA